GCCAGCGTCGCCGCGCGGGCCTGAGGCTCCGCCCGCTTCCGGCCGAGGCAGAGGCGGTGGGGTCGTACGCGGGGCTGTGGTGCCGGCTGCGGGACTGGCGTCAAGTCTGGTTTTTCGGGTGCTCGGACCCAGCGGCTGCTGCCTGGAGAGACGAGGAGCTCGTCTCGTCGCCGAGCTGCTGGCCCCCGTTTTACAGACGTACACCTTTGCGAAGCACTGTGCGGACCCAGGCCCCCTCCCCGGAATGGCTCTTATTTCTGGGGCTCGGAAGCCGGACATTCATACCGCATAACAAAAAGGTCTGGAATCGGGAGACGGAACTCAAGGGAGAAGTGACGCACTCCCCTGTGCTCCTCCCGGGTTTCGGTCAGAGCCGCAGGTGCCTGGGCTTTCTTAAACTTTGTCCAGACTTCGAGAGTGGGAGTGGAGGAGCAAAACAGGCCTCAGCCAGTGTTGTGAAAGAGAGATCTTGCTGAGGGGTGTTTACAAAAAGACGTTCTCAGAAAAGACTTCTACCGTCCGCCTGGCGTCTCACGGAGGATACATGTATTTGTAATATTTAAATTCAAGCTCTTTTAAGGGTCCTGAACACGTTTCCCGTCCTTCTCCCGCCGTCCCCTCCGCGTCTTGTAAATTGGACAATATTCTTTTTTTCCCTTCTCGTCTTTTTGTTTCTCTCAAACCCCAAAGACCTTGTTTTCTTTTTATCCAAAGTGTTTGTGTCTGTCACATGGGAAAATAAATTATCCGGTTTAATCCTTAGAAATAAATCTCAGGAATGAAAAACAAACTAGTATGCCTCAGAATATTGAAAGACACCTAAGATAAGTTACCCTTTGTTCAGTAAATTAAATACTAAACTTATAAAAGGAAGTTTTGGAATATAGAAATGATGACTACTGCTCAGCAGTGAATTAGAAAAACCATTTGACAAATCCACGTTAAATAAATCAGCATTTATTACATAAACTTTAACTATTATCTTTGCTAATTATTCATTTTCAGTATAGTCCTGGATATTAAACTTAACGACATCCATCCTATGCCAAGTAAAATTTGGCAAAACTACTTGATTTTAACATCTCTGAAAGCTTCCAATACAAATCTCCGATGTACTAAACAGATTGATAAACCGTTATCAGTGCACTTTGAAAACATAATTTAAAATCAAAGCCGCCCTTAATGAAGTTCACTAAGTAGGAATAAATGTACAAAGGAAAATGAGATAATGTAGTCCTGGGAGTCCTCATAAAATAAGACTTTCAAAATTAAACTTGATTAATAATGTTAGGGAAAAATGATTTTAAAAAAGCAAGTGGACTTTGTATAAAATAATTAGGTTTAGAAAAGCAATGGTAGAAATGTGAACCTGGCGTTTCCTCTAAATTACAGAGCTAATAAAATAAACTTAGAAGCTAAAGCAGTTTGTCTCCTATCAAATTTGAGGTTTCTATAATTTAAAACCTCAGTAACAGTGGAAACCATTACAAATTCTTGAGAATTGATGGATCCCTAGTATTTTCAAACCAGTGAACCAGGATAGTAACAAAACTATAGGCTTTAGATAGGCCTAAGTTGGAGTTCTTGTTCTGCCTCTTACAACTTGAGGACTTTGGACAAGTTGCTTCTCTCGGTCTCAGCTTCCTCATCTGTAAAATAGAAAATTTTTATTTTATAAAGCTATAGTATAAATAGAAATAATTAAACCTACTTCGAAGTTCTAAAACCTACAAAGATAACATGTAAAGTACCTGCTACATCATGGTTACTCAAGTTTTACTTGTCTGTCATTGACCATCCGTACCTATGGTCTGTTCTGCCTTCCCTTAGTTAAAGGTTCAAGAGTTGAGTTGAAATGTGTATTTTTACCTTTGTTGTATCTAATCCTAATACCTGGAAAATTGTCCTTCATATTTAGAACTTATATAATTCTCAAAGTATATAGTGGTGAATTTGGAATATCATTTCTTTGTTAGCAGAATTTCTAATTAGGCTACATATTATGCCATATAGGCTGTGTGTCCCAGTACGCAAAAATTACAAAGCTTTTTAAGACTAGAAATCTAGAGACAGACTCAGTTTCTGATTAATAAAAAATGAAAGAGAGCTATTTTTATGTTAGAATGCCAGCTTTTAAAACTTGTAGTCCAGCAAACTGTTTTGAAGATGATAGAGATGTAGAAGAGGGAAAAAAAGAAGCTATGGGAAGATGAGTGAATGGACAGTAGCTATGAGTTGATGAACCTCTTTTTAGCCTAGAGTATTGTTGTAATTGCTTTATTTTTCTTTCAGGAAATTTTAAATGTCTTATCTATTTCTAAGTGAAATTTTCTATTTGCCCTAGTTCTTTTTTTCTTTAGAAATGAAGATGGAAAATTATAACCACCATAGACTTTGTTTTCTCAAGCTGAAACCATTTCTTTAACTCTTCCTCAAAATTTTAAACATGGTATTTTGTTCACAAAATTGAAATTTAAGTTCTTATTTTCTACTCTGTTGTTATTTTTGCTTTTTATCTGGGCTTTTTCCAACTCCTTAAAATGTGGAAAATATAAGCATGAACACTATCTTAGAAATATGACTTTCTTTGGAACATGTAAACAAGCAATATTTGGGGCTATCCCCCTTACCATGCATACAAGGATTCTGTCTTTCCTCTGTTTATCCTGAGACCAAGCAGTACTGGCTCTTATTTGTTTCAAAAGTTTTAACAAGTCCTTTCTTCCTTTCATTCTAGATAGCATATCCTCTCTGGCAGAACACAAGACATCTTTCTGTTTTCTTTGGCGAGTTATTTTCTTATCTCAAATTCTTTTTACCCAGTTTGAGAGATTGGATTTAATCCAGGAAATAAAAAGTATTCTATTTCCCTTCAGCTAAGTATCTTCAGGTTTTTAAACCAGGTTAAAAAGACCATAAGGATTGTATCTTCATGTACATATGCTGTATTATGAATATAACTAAGAATAAGGTTGTTCTTAACATTTAATTTCTTCCACTTGACTATTCTTGACTCAATTAAAATTTATTCTGGTACTTTTATTTTCTTCTTTGCTATGATCCTTTAAGGTAAAGTCCTCATTTTAACATTAGGGTAGCTTATTTATGGAAATGAGGGCATATTTTCAGATGCATTCCCTGCTGTTATTATACTTTGCAAATTGCTCCTGCCCTGGTCCTTTGTTAATCCACTTTTCTTCTTTACAAATATCATTATTTATGTGCTGTTACAAATTCTCTGAAACACTTTCCCTTGCTAATATTAATAATTTAAACTATAGTGATACCCTTCATTGTAGGGGAATGTAGAGGCAGCTGTACCTGAGATCTACGGCATTCAGCCAGTACTCCCTTGACTATTACTGCTTGACTGTGGCTAAACTGAGTTATGGAGACAACAGCAGCGAATCTGGACATGGCAGGAGGATGAATGTCACTTCTCTCATGCAACCTCAAAGTGTCGTGGGTCTAAAATGTACATGCTGTAAAATATCTCTGCATGTTTTTATGTAAATGTTGTATAAGGCAGTGTTTAAGAGTTTTGTCCTAGTACTTGTTTTCCCAAGTTAAAAAGTTAAATGTTCCATGTTTTATTCTTCATCAACTAAAATCTTGAAAAGTAAGCTTCCACACTATTTACACTATTTTTCATTCCCTCTCCCTTTTCAATTTGAGTACAAGCTTTTTTTTTTTTTTTTTTTAAGGAATAGATAGCTTATTTACAACCCATTCTGATTTCTTATTAATGTTAGTGAAAAATTGAAGTCTTACTCATGCTAGCATATTACTAGTGATAATTAACTACCACTATATGGCATAATCTCCAGATATCTAATACGTACCTTTATGCAAGAAATGATCTGAAGAACTAAGTATGTTATTAAGTATGTTATAGTTTCCAAGATGCTACATACTGGTCTTCTCACCTCTGCTCTTTAATGAATATTCAGTGCCTCTCAGTTTAATTTTTCCAAGTGAGAGGGGGAGAAACATTATCTTCTTTATTATAACGTAATCAGGTCAATTTATATTACAGATGAGTAGGCAATGTGGACATTTGTGATGATTTGAAGAAGCCATATGTCTTTATTACCTCACTGAAAGTATTGGGGTGAAGAATGTGGTCTTAACTTTTTTAAAACCACTTTTTAGTTTTATAAAAGTAATACATGTCCCTAATTTAAAAAATAAAGTAGTACTACGAAGTTTATAAAAACAAAAAAACAGAAGCTCCATGCTTCTTCTCTGTCCCTATTTGCCCTACCAAAAGACATCTACTTTGAACTGTCTCTTCTGATACTTACATATGTATTTCTAAATAATATACTGAGCTGCTATGTACTGATTGATAAATTTAAAGCATTATCTATTAACTTCCTATTGTAAATAGTGAGGATTTCTTCCTCTTAAACTACCACTCTCCCATTTCTTCTCTCCCAATATAGTTACAGCACAATTTGCATTTAAATCATTATCACACAGAGCAATGTGTATAATTCTCTAGTGAGTCAAGTATTGCATTATGATTATATTCACATTCTGGTACCATCTTAACTTTGTTGTCTTTTACGCCTCAATGATTTCCTCAAATTTTCTTTTAATTTTTTATTTTTTCTATATTCTTTCACAACTATAAAATCTCATCCCATGCTTTTTTCCACATGTATCAGGAATCTGTTAGATCCACTCATGTTGTTTTTTGTTTGTTTGTTTTTTAAATCATA